TTTATATTGTTATAACATTCAGGACAGACCATTGAACTTGGCACCCATTTAGATCTAATCTCTTTTGTCGTAGAAGTCAACAATCAAGGTATATATCATAATATTAAACTGCTATCATTTCACATTTATGTTTTTGATGGGATATGGTATTACGGTGAAATTCCACACAATAATATTAGATATAGGTCAACATATAGGCCATAAAAAGTGGGTTAAATACCACCCAAAGATATTAATAATTAACTAATCAAGTAATAAATGGGGTTGTATATAAGCTTTAATTATTGTTATATATATATATATATATAAATAGAAGGCGATCTAAAAATGTATTATATATACGTACAAAATCGGGGGCACTAATAGTTATAATTATCAGTAGTAAATTTATCGTGCTTAAACGAAACGTAATATCAATGACGGAAATAATACATTATCATTAGACCATAATTTTTATAAGTTAGATAAACTTAAAATCAGTACTGTAAGATTCGATCATCAGATCTAAAAATATAGTGAAATATTCCAGAAACCTAATGAATTAGTTACTTTATAATACTTCGTTTAGTAGTAATTGTATAACAGGAATAAGAAAATAAATATACACTGTAGAGTTTAAATGTATATACACGTACAATATACATAATAAATGGGAAGCATTTTTTGTGTAAGTATACATTTTGAAAAATATGTTTAAATAAAATAATTAAACAAAATAGACGTAGATTAGAAAAGTATGCTGATTTGTTGTATACTATTTCAAGATTACAGGTAGAAATGTAAAAGATTTTGTTCAATACCTGACACTCAACTAAGTATGTGAACTTCGTTTGAGGCATATACAAAGGTAAACTTTGTAGAAAGTCATCTGCGTAAATTCCTTTCTTAATGATTTCAATATTAAATCAGTTTGCTTTGTGAACTGAGCTTCAGTTGAAAAGTAAAAGTAGGTAGTTAAATTACTTATGATATATTGGTCTTCAGCAATGGCAATGCATGAGTGTTATCACGGCCGTCACATTACAACATGTTGCATGTGGTCATGTATAGGTATATGAATATAGGTAACGGTTATTTACCATCAGCTGGACTAACTGCTTGTTTCTTATTCCAGTTACATAGTAAAAAACTATTATTATGTGATTTTATTACTGCCAACATCATGATGAATAAGTACGTATGCAGCTCTACTCATTATATTTTATACTTTATAAATAGTTTATTAGGGACCATACAGTCTTAGCTTCATTTATTTTATGGTATAATGAAATCTTGAACTCGAATGGAATGAAAGAGATTCAACCTTTATAAAATATTGTGATATTGGTATACTCAGGGTAAATTTAAATTGAAACGATGCGTGCCATTGTTTAATAGCAAAGACACATTACAATAACCCTTTGTTTTGAATTTGGTCTTTCAGATTATTGTAATTAAATCTATAATAGAGAATTCATTTACATTACATTGTAGTTTTGCTTCAATTATTTATACCTGGTCAATAGTAACAATAAATACAAACATTTTAATATTCAATTGATATTAATGTCCAATTACGTATGTAGGTAAGTGAAAAGTTTTACTAACGTAATTTGTATATGATACAAAAAAGCAGAGGTTATCTATTTTATACCTAAATTTGTATAACTTATACATTATAATTATGGTACAAAAAATTACACCTTGATAACCACTTTTCTTGATTTTATCAAGAAATGAGATTTAAAAAAAATATCTTTGTATCTTTGATAATTGATTATCGCTAGATAACTCTATTTAAGATGTTTATATGTAATATGAATAAATCAATATTATTATTCTGCTTGTTATAATTTATACTCGTATTATAATTTATAATCGTATACTTACGATTATAATGTGATACGTGTGAATATTTATTAACATTTCACTACTATACAGCTGAAAGGATCTTAATAAAACTCGTGTGTACAAAACAGGTTAGGACGTAGGACGTGTGGTATCTGTGGAGTGATACCCAAATTCCACAGTTTTACAAACAAATTCTTCAGCCATAAACTTTGCCGTAGTAATTTAATAACTTGAAGGTAAAACTCAAACTAAAAGTTACACAAATTAAATTGTAGGTATTCATATACTTGGAAACGTTACTACGTTTCCTAATAAAATTCGACTAAACTAGGTGTTGCCAGCTATTTCGTCTGCATGAACTTTCATTCCTTATTTCACAGCTTATTATTTTTTAAGATAAATAATAGCCTATGTCCAACCTCGTGATCAATCTATCTTCACGGAAATTATTATTCAGCTGTTTATTTGTGTGAAGGTAGCAGACAAACGCGCTTTTGCAATTAAGTTAATATAATATTAGTATGTAATATTATATTATCTGTGATATTAGTATACGAATATAAAGGACGTGCCTCGGTTTTTCCTAAGTACAGTTTTATCATAATTTCGTGAATTTTGTATACATACTCTTATAAACCTAATATATAATAAAATCTTTATTATTCTGTAGTAATGGACCTTTCAAATAGTGTAAGAGATTCTTAAATCACCGCAGTGTTTCCAGTGATTACTTTCCGTAATAAAATTTCTCTCTCTTTATATATCAGCGACGCACAAATAATATCTTAATATTAGATATACCTAATTATTTAAAAACTCAGTTAATCAAAAAATAAAAATAATATTTGAATATATAATTTTTATAATAGAAAGGCACATTAAGAAAAACTTTTAATTTGGTAAACCTTTTTGTAACGCACTTATTAGCATATTTTTTGTTGTTTATACGCAATAATTGATACACTGTATCGCGCTTTCTTTTAATACAATTTATAATATTTGTTAGTATTATATGTATGAATTATTACATATGTATCCGGTCTATTAAAAAGCAATCAACTATTTTAAACAAATACAGGAAAAGTAAATAGAAGCGTAACTTAAACGAAAACGGATTCGTTTGAATCGTTAGAAAATTAACTCTTCTGCAGTATACTTGGATTCCAGAAACTTATATATCTTAAATAAACTATTGCTAAGGAAGCATAAGTTGCTGAAAGAAATGGCGATATCATAACATACTTACTTGTATACTTAATGACATGATAAAAAATACATATTTTTATTTATTATTAATGTTACGGTAAGTTACTCACTTGATACTCTAAAACAAATACGAATACGATTAATTTACAATAAGAAACAGAAAACAGATATTGACGAAACTTCATCGATAACTATTATTTTAGTGGATATAGCTTACTAACGTACAACCTATAAAATACTCTCTATTCTGAGGATATAATACGAGTTACTTTGAAAGGCATCGCTAAACATCCCTTATCGAAATTCGGACCGTCCTTTAAAACTTGTAATACAAATCGGTTCTGTCATGATCAGAGTATAGATCTATTCAACACGATAATAGCGATAACAATTAAATAAAAAGAATACACAATAGCGCTTGATTGCATTTTTATATGTCGATATATTTTAATTAAATTGTGTTGTTATATTTTATTTATAGTTAAAATTGCACTCCATTACTATGTGTGAGAGGTCGAGCCTTTCGGAGCCTCTTGAATTAAATTTTTGGTTTATATCAGTATTACCTTTATCAGATTGTCAATCAGATATAAATTGACAATAATTTTTTTTATTAGTTTCTGCTAAACTTGTTACTAAGGCCATTTAAACTTTTATACGTTGGCAAAGTCAATGAGCCTGTTATGATCTACAAACTTGTTAGCCTGGGGGCTAGCTTTGTGTGAATCGTCATAAAATCGCATTAACGTTCTAGTTCTGGTGGATGTGGGAGTTTCTCCCCCGTAATAAAGGTTCTAATACCAGTCCATTATTACCACATTCTCCAAGCTGTACGATGTAACGATATACTAAGGGATATATAATGACAAACGTGTATGGCAGCAGTAGTTCATGCACGGGAGTTTCACTTAATGTTAGACACCTACATAAGTACGCAAAAGTAAACCTTTTAAAAAATGAAATTCAGTTGAGTTTCTTGACCGTTCTTTTCAATTGAATCTGTATACTGAACGGAACGGTAGGAAAACATATTATTACATGATTTGATTTGATATGTAACATTTTTTCCTTATGAATTAATATGATATGTTTCTATTTGGGTCTTACCATATCCAGAGAATGAAAAGGAATAGTGATACAGTATTCTTACTCGTTATTTAAAAAGCGTTACCTTCATAAAAATAATTTAGAACAGTATCATAAAAATACTGTTACTACTAATTTTTATTTTGTTTTTTGTTACGCAACTGTAATAACTAACAAATTTATGACTTTTCTATTTGCATATATAAATAATAACACATCACATATTTCCAAGTCTCACATCGTGCCACTATAGCCTACAATTTTACCGCCTTATCTCCATCTCACCTTTCACCAAAACACATCCTACAAAACAAACTGTTAGGCGAAACAGGAGGAGACAGAGATAACCACGCAAAGGACTATGTACAATATCTACCTTAATATCCCAACAAAAAACAACACCCACTCAATATACATAAAGTCTGTAATGTATTATATTTTGTTCTATATTTGACGAATATTCGACTTTCGCATGTTGCGCATTTCTTTGTTATTAAATACGACTTTAGAAGCTTATTTTTTTAATTATCTGTTAAATAGTAATTACAAAACTTTTTAAATTATTTTCGATGCCGACCTTAAACAATGGGATAAAGGCAAGTCAATGATGATTGTATTCAAAACCATGTAATATACATCATTCTTAATTCAAGTTAGAATAATAAAATAATCGAAAAGTACGTTTTTCTGTCCCGTATGTAAATAATGAATAGAATTCTACAATGTAAATATTTAAGATAATAATAAATAAGATAAGTACCATAGAGTAATCCCGTGAAGTAAAAAAAAAATATTTATAATTCATGTATTAATAATAAGAAATTAAATTAAGAACAAATATGCTTTAAGTATATAAAAAAATACAAAAAATAACTTACGTTTTCACATCAAACTCCACTTGATAATTTCTTGTCAAAGCTGTATTTATTAAGAAGTAACTATTCTAAGTTTTTCTATTATACACATAAAAAGTCTACATCAATAAACAATGATTTCACTATTGTTCACATTTATAACTTTTGCGTTTTGTTGAAGTTCATGCGTAAGTCAGCACGGAGATTCAATATAAGCGCGTATTACTGTTACGGTGTTTCAGAAGAGACTGACCAAACGCACAACCCTGAGGCATACCACGCTGAAAATTTTCACTCATAACGCAGACTCTTCGTACATAATGTCTGTTCTTATATCTAAATATTTAAGATACAAAATTCTACGATATCGTTTTGACTAAACGACGCATATTTCTATGTTTTCTCAGGTGTAATTATATATTTCAGCTGTACAATAATATTCAGAATATACTTGGAAATACACAAACGGACCATAATACTATACAGAACAGCAGTATATGAAAAAAATACATATGACACAACTTTAAAAATAGAGCATCTAATTCTATTAATTATGTTTAATTGTGTACCTACAATATTATATGTCATGTTGTTTATTACGAAAACTTTACTTTCACTCATTGGAAATAATATGTTAATATTATTATAAAAAATAATTCAATATATCATCACAAATTACAATTGTTTTTCTCACAATAAATGAAGCAAGTATAATATATATATACCTACAATATATATGAATGTTCGATTTTATAGCTAAAATTATATCAACTCTTAATAAATAAATATAACGATTATGATTATGATTAAATTGTATACACAGTGTAATAAAACCCTTTAATTTCATTTCTTTTTCTTCGTATTACCTTCTAAAATATGTACATGAAACTACGAAAAGTGAGTTTCCCACGAACGGTACGATTTGATTAGAAGCATAATCATAACACAAAGTAAATTGCTTTCCATAATAAAGATATTTTTCATTCACATTTTCTTCTAATGCCTTAGGCGTTCCTTAGAATTAGTCTTGTAAACCATATACTTATACATCGTATGTTTTTTTTAATAATATGAAATATTGGTAATGCTTATAATCATATAAATAGAAAAAAAAACTGAAAGATAATAATGGAGATAATACCTATTAATTAATTGTACACGAAGGTCGAACGTTATAAACTCACTTTGAATAAAACCAGTAAATGTTTTGAATTAATTGGATGTGTCCTGTAATACGATATTGTGTTAATGCTGACTAGACGTTAATATAATTTTATAGAAGTATTATTGTACTAAATATTGTCTATTTATTGTAGTATAATTTGAGATGAAATTTTATTTATCTCCTGCTGAAGATTTTATTACTTACGTGTTTTGTGCAACCCATTTTTATACACGGTGTTATAAAACGTGTTTCCCATATATAACACTCTATTACAGAAACGTGTTACACATATGTATAACACGTAAGTTCTAGTATATAGCATTTGCACATATATGCACATATTAAATTATAATTGTTTTATTTTCTCGCTGTAGGTCCATGTTTAATATTTAGTTATATATTTATTGGTTTATATAAAATGAAACAGTTTTTTATTATAATATATGTATATATACATATATATATATATATATATATATATATATATATATATACAATTATTATAATCATGAGAATCTATTATTGTTCATTATTTGAGCCTCTCATAAAACAATGCTTTAGCCGTGTATAGTTGTGGCGGCCAAGGGGCTTGGTATAATGTTTTATTGCGACTTTTCAGTATCTTATTTGAACCCCTATTGGCCTTTATGAAATGAGATCGATGAAAATGAGATATTTGCGGTGTGATTTGTGGTCTTCGTAGATCATAGTGGATACCTCTTACTTACGACGGTAGCGGGTTCGATTCCTCGAACGGTAGAAATATTTGTATCCACGGGTATGATTGTTTGTATCGTTCTAGGTGTTATCAATATCTTCTATTATGTATGTACGTATAAAAAAAAAATCTACATATTTATATCAATTGTGTAGTACCTATAACAAAAGCTTTGCTTAGCCTCAGACTATTTAGTCTCAAGTAAACAGATGCCGCTGTGTGAATTGTCCTGAGATGAATGAATAAAAAACAGCGTAACTATACATCTGTTTGTATTGGTTTTGTGAACTTTTTTGATTATACTGTCTATGAAATAAAATATATGTAGTTAGAATGCTAAACAAATTTATTACCCAACTGATAGTAGACGGGTAGAGTAAACTAGACTGTGGTACGCAGATAACTTTTTATGAAATATCTTATCTTACTAATATTATAAACGAGAAAGTTTGTGTATGGTTGTATGTTTGTTACTGTTTTACGCTAAACTACTGAACAAATTCTGATAACTTTACAGTATACATCAGCTATATATATATAGCTTATACATCAGAATAACACATAGGCTATAAATTTCGTGCGGGTGAAACCGCGGCCACAGCTAGTAAGAATATAAATATATGGCACCATTTCATTTGTTACTGATAGTATGTTACCTATATATTACAAGTTAGACAAGACCTGTCTTATCTAATAAACTCGCAATATTAGGGCAACCAACCAACAAAATACTTATTTATATTTATTACCTCCTCAATTTAGCTTCAAAGATCACCAATATCAACACTCGATAAGTCAATATGAATCAACAGAATGGAATTTACTAATTAAAACAGATGTTCATTTTTAGAAAATTTCCTCTCTTTTCTCATAATCAACTAAATATATGCAAATATCATTACAACATTCTTGGCATATGGTATGTAACATTGTTCGCTATGACTAAGTACTAAAGAATGTGAATTATTAAAACATGCTGGAAATAATAAATTTATGAAAAGGCAAAAAATCTGTTTTTGATATAATAAGAAGCTATATGAGGGTTTAACATTTGATTATTATAAATAATATCTTTCACTTGCTTTTGAAACTATAATAAAAACTATAATAACTTATAATAAACTAGCTGTTCCCGCGACTTCGTCCGCATGGAATTACACTTTATTTTTCTAATTTAAAAGAATTATTCTAATATAAAACTAACCGAAGTTACTCCTTATTACATCAGCTACCTGCTATAAAAAGTCCCGTCAAAATCGGTCCTGCTATATCAAGGATTAGCGGGAACAAACAGACTGACAGGCAGACAGACAAATATTGTAAAAAATGTTATTTTAGTGCATGTACCATATTTATCAATATTACAAACAGGACACTCCAATTTTATTTATCATCATCATCATAAATTAATTTTATTAAACTTTTCCATTGTTTTACCTATTTATTTATTTATTTATTAAAACTTCAATATACAAATACATAATAAATAAAGGTGCACATGGCGGACTTAACACCCTCGAGGCGTTCGGAATGAAAACCAGTATTACATAGAATAAGTATTATATAGACTAACATTAATTAAAAAATAACATCATAAATTTTAATATTGTTAATAACAAACAAAAAGCGATATCAATAGATTATACTTGGATAAAATGCGTCGATATTGCAAGTGCTTCACTAGTTTCATAAATTGATAGATTGATGGATCTAAATTATTAATATTACTATATGGTTATCTATATTTTATATGTATACAGGTATCAATTACTGAATATAAATGGTCAACTTTCTAGCTTATATAATCTATTGTCATTTTGCTCCAAATTACTTAGATAATGTTTTAATGTAAATAATTTCCTTTTGAAGATAAACTTTTATCTAACTCTTAAAACTAGGTATATATACCTATTTTTCATCGCTAACATTATTTAAGGTTAGTACATTCAAAAACAGAAAGATACAATTCCAGGTTAGTATTTTTTTAATTTTATATCTCTTAATTTGTTATAACATCATCAAAACAAAAAATATCGATAGTTGAAAAATTAAGTTGTTCTTATATTTTTTTGTATTACATAAACACTAACAAAAAATGTTCTAAAAATCCCTGTGGATATGGGAACTAAGTAGTTCCATATGGATGAATCCGCGTATTATGCCTTCAACATGAGTGACTTTTAAATTAGAATTATGACGTGAAACGGAAATTAATGTATAAAAAATATACATAAATTTTATTCTGCATAAATCACATCAATATGGGTAATTGAAACTCTTGTAGTTAAATCTCTATCTTATCTCTATATCTGCATGGTAAAGTATCATAATTTTCAGATTCCGACTATAATTTTTGAACGTAGTCTCAAAAGTAGTTGAGAGTTATATATATATGTTTTAATGCTCTACTGACATAGGTACACATGCTAAATGTTTAATTTAAAAATAATTTTATGCAATTTCATTATAACATTTTTGTTATTGAATAATATAATATACCTACATGACTGTTATCCTATTTGGAGCCGTCATATGCTTTAACTATCAATATCACGGTAAACAGAAAACTTGACATGCTAACAATTCCCTGGGCATTTAAAGCCAACATGACGGTTAGTAAATCTGTAAAATAGTACAATTAATTTTGTTAAATATTTTCATCACCAGTTACTAAAAAATATAAAATGATATTCATGTTATTTATTACTTTCGATCGGATTAAAACTAGGTATAAAAATAGCGATAGAAAATTACTACGGTCTCGCTGTTCTCAAATAGATAAACCAATTATAATAAATAGTTTTCAGTAGCTGTTACGAGAAATAAAATATGTAATTTGTTATTTTAAGTACTTATTAACTCTTTATTGTACCAAACATGTAATACAATTGTACTGAACTGAAAAATTGGTGTACAAAGACTATCTTATCGCTCAAGTAACCGTTAGTTATTCATTTATTATTTATTCATTGACAGGAGAGGATATTTTTATTGTACATTTCTTAATATTCACCAGAAAGGTACGGAATGAGAAGTAACAGGTTCGGTATGTTAGGTCAGTCGATCTTATATCTCATCAAAATATTTTGTATAGTTGCGATACCTACGTTGTAATAACTAGTCATGCTCTCTGTTTGTCTGTACAGCTAAAAAATACTCCATAAAGGGATTAAATTAATTATTTACACTATTTATTGTAAACTCGACTTTAGAGATTAAAGAGAAAGCAGAGACTTTCTACATAGTTTACGTGGGTACCTCTGTCTCATCTATTTCAGCTGCAGAAAGAAGTATTCTTTGTAGAGACGTTACAGTTAAAGGTTGTGATAAAGCAGTGAA